GTCCTGGGGGGAAGGACTTGGGCATGCCAGTGGACGGTAAGATGAACATGAGCCAACAGTGTGTGCTCACAGCCCAGAAAGCCAACCGTATCCTGGGCTGCATCAAGAGAAGTGTGGCCAGCAGACTGAAGGAAGGGATTCTGCCCCTCTGCTCTGCCCTTCTGAGACCCCACCCCGAACACCGAATCCAGCTCTGAAGCCCCCAACACAAGGAAGACATGGAGCTGTTGGAGCAAGTCCAGAGGAGGGCTACCAAGATGGTCAGAGGGTTGGAACACCTTTCCTACGAGGACAGGCTGAGAGAGTTGGGCTTGTTCAGCCTGGAAAAGAGAAGGCTCTGGGGAGACCTTAGAGAGGCCTTCCAGTACCTGAAGGAGGCCTACAAGAAGGCTGGGGAGGGACTTTTTACAAGGGCCTGCAGTGATAGGACAAGGGGTAATGGTTGGAATCTGGGAGAGGGCAGGTTTAGACCAGATACACGAAAGAAGGTCTTCACTCTGAGGGTGGTGAGACATTGGGAACAGGTTGCCTAAGGAAGCTGTTGATGCTCCATCCCTGGCAGTGCTCAAGACCAGGTTGGATGGAGCCTTGAGCAACCTGGTGTAGTGGGAGGTGTCCCTGCCATGGCAGGGGGGTTGGAACTAGATGGTCTTTGAGGTCCCTCCCAACCCAAACCATTCTATGATTCTCCACAGGTATCTCTGCAAATATCATATCCCAGTCTCTCCCCTCCTTATTGTTCTGATCCACATACCCCATTAATTTACCCTCACTTTTGCCTCCAGAACCTATCTAGTATTTCTGTTCAATACTTGTGTTCACATCTCTGATAGGCAGACTAGTTTATTTGCTGCTGAGTAGCTCAACCTTGCTGCACTGTGCTCAGTTCTGGTAGTGGAACACAGACTATTTCAGCTTAAATTTGAAATCACTGGAATCAAGAAACTAAGTACCACTCAATACTAAAACACTTCAAAGAAAATCTCTGGAGAATCCCTGAAGCCTGAGTATCTACAGACTTTTTTTTTTTTTTCCCCTTCCCCTGAAGATCTGATCAAATTGGCCAAAATTTTTATTTCTTGCCAGAATGTTCTTTCCCAGAATGAAACTGCTCTTCAAGAAGAATAAACCTGACAGTTGTTTCTGGAGGTCACCAAGTAGAGGAAAACTAAAAGTTGAATCTCAGGCTGAACAGATTCAGCAAAATCACAGCTGAAATTTGAAACCTACCATATGTTCTCCACTGAGATCCTGAACAACTTTTATTTGTTCAAAATCATAAGGTCCCTTGAAGCCGTGGGCTGCTTTGAACTTAACTGGTCTTGTATACGGCATCCCTTCATCATCACTGGAAGAGGGATCATCTTGATCTGTATGGAAGACTAAGAGGAACACAAATGCAGTATGTATCACAGCACACATTTAATCTATTAGTAAGCATTTACCAATAGTGTTTGGTAGCAGATTAGTCCTGAAGGGGCAAATTTTTATATGCAATTTTAAGATCTTAAAGCAAAACAATAGTACTGTTGCATCAAGATCTAAAAATACATCTACACTAATTTTAGGTTGCAGTGAATCCAAACACTGAACACCCAAAACAAGAACTGCTATCCATTTTCATTCTGCCCCTTTATTTGCATTGGGTCTTGCATTCAGCAGATCCTGCACGAAGTGATTTCTGTCAGTTTAATGTGTGCTGAAAATTATTGTATTGGTTTCTTGTGACTGAATACACTGAAATGGCCTGGTGCATATTAATTGCAAAAGAGCTGGGGCAAACAGCCAGTGGCAACACTAGATGCTGAAGTGCAGCAGTTCTATCTTAGGCTGTGGTTAGATAGGCTTACTGAAGTACTAGATGTCTGTCTGAAAGAAACATTGATGAAACAAGAAGGGGAGAATTCAGTTGTAGTTGGGAAATCTTCTAACAGGAGCTCAAGCTGTAGGAGAATTCTAATGGTGGCACTGGTTGGCAGAAAACAATCTGATTTTATTAAAGTAATGAAGACAACCCCCACTTCCACCTTTGCTGGAATAACGTTTCAAAAAAAGCTTACATTTTGATATCCAGACAGCTTTCTAACAGCACAACAAAAATTACACTATTCAACTAGTTTAGCTGAAAGGGTCTCTCTACTACTTTACAAGAATTCATCCTTGTAACCCGCTAGTCTCAAAATGCGTACCAAGCTACAAGTCACATCATCAATTATACAGTGGTAGAATACAGCAGTATATGTCCCTCAGCTGGCTTTCATTCCTAGAAGCCCAAGGATAAACAGACTATCCTATTAGAAAATTCACATATTAAAACCCAAACAAACAGTGTCATTTACCTTCATCTCGAACACTCTTAACTTTATTTACAGCACGTTCGCCATATTCTTCAGCAAGGTGCTTTGCTCGCTTTACAGATTTGCCAAGGAATTTTTTCAGCTGGGTCCTTAAAAAGCAAAGGCACTTTTTCAACATGTGACACTGGCAAATTCTCATTTTTTGCTATTACGAATCAATAGTTTTGATTTGAAATGCAGTATTATCTCTTTTCATTACTGTTTCTTAAAATAAGCATTTAATTTGCCAGCAGTCATGTAATCTTCAACTTGACTGCAGGGCAATGGGCTGATGTAAACTCAGGTATCACTTTTACTTAAAAAAGTGACTTGTTCAGAAGTCAGGAGGGGAGCTTCAGCTTAGAAAAACAAAAAACTTTCCTTTTCTTTGTAGGGACATGAAACAGCATCTTACGTTTTTTGTTTTAACCTTCCTCCATCAGAATCGGTTTGCTGTGTCTGCATTTTGTCTTCATCATCAGACTGTGCGGCATCATTACTAGGAAATACAGAAGTGATCGTTTAATACAAAATCGTAATGAATCTACATTGAATGAAACATTAGTAAAGCAGAATCTGCATTTTACGATCCAACTTTATTCCTTCGTGTAACACATTGGAAAAATATGGACGTGATGTTGATCAAGTAATAAAACAGATCTTTCCATTCTTAGGCATCTTGATACTAAAACTATATACACTCTCCAGATGCCAAAGATATATTACTCCCACAAATTTCAAGCTTAAGTTTATTGTGATGCTTTGAAAGCTAAGAGCACACAAAATACATTACCAGTAACTGGTAACATGCCACCTTGTTCTCATAGCTTGCTTTCCATAAATCAAATAAATTAATAGTGGTTAATTCTGAAACAGAAAGAAGTCTCTACACAGAAGAGTACAGTTCTACAGAAGTGAGCTTTTCAATAACACAGCAATGCAAAAAACCTAAAAATTGTCTGTATAAACTCACATAAATCTAGGCCTTTAAAAGAAACATCTAGACTGACACGATTTCCTGATCATTGAGAAACTGTATTTTTCTATCAAAGTTTACAGACAGACTCAGTTTTAAACATCGAAAGGGCATAACGCTCTGCTGAGAACAGGAAAACCTCAAAGTAGTCAGTCACACTGATGATGACAGATCTTCAGAGGACCAAAGTCTACTAAATTAAACACTGAAATAGCTACAGGAGGTGGCAGCATGAGTGTGTACTTGAACAGAAACTGTTTAATTCAGTATAGAAATGACAACATTTAGCACATCAAGTGCTAACTGGAGTTCAGCTGGATTTTCAGAGATACTGGCCTATCGAGTTCCAGCAACATCATCAACTTTCAGTTAACTTAAAAGAATTCAATAAACAGCCTAATTCATAAAAAACTGGGAATTAGCACTCAAATTAGTCAGACACAGATAGTTTGGGACTCTCTTTACTGGGGTAAGAGCACCCTCCATATAAGCAAAAACGAGATCTTTACGATGCAACAAAGCACCATAAAGGGCTGAAAACTATCATCGTTCGTACCTGACATATTCTTTAGTTCTCCTCATGATATGCAAAGTTAGGGGATTAATGCCTGTTGGCAACTTTTCTTCTGCCAAACTCAGGGGTATTTCTTCACCGGTATCAAGGTTTTTTATCATTACGCTTGCTAGAATTTCCTATGGAAAAAATAAGATGTGAAATCAAGATGACTTGATTAGACTCCAAAACCTAGAGCATAATAGAAATTATCTGATTTTACAGATTATTTATCTTAATGGGAAATTGTGTAACTTGCTACACATTTGTTTTAAGAAGACTACGTTTAAGTTGAAATTGCCATTAGTGTGTTAGTGCAAACACTATCAACCACCACCATACACAGATGAACAATTACATGTCATCACAAGCTTCAATTTCATAAACCAGAAATGCAACTATAGAGACATCAGACACTGCCTGACACCTTCCATGCTAATATCAAACACATTATGTAATGAAAAGACATTGAAATCTTCTGCTTTCAGATATTCTAACAGCTGTAGTTTAGATTTAGTCAAAGACAAGCTTTATGTACAGAGAAAAAGCATTTAGACCTAACTAGTACTATGCAAAGGAAAAGGTTTTTTTGGAGCATCTCATGAACACATACATCCGTTCAGCAATAGTTGAAAAAGCTGTACATAGATAAACACAAATAAAAACTTCTATTAGCCCAATCACCAAGATTAATGGAAGTTATTAACTAAAGAAACCATTTTTTAATATTCGGATTATTGTTCTCCTATTGCTGACTCCTTCCCCTTTTAGATGCATGACAAAACGCCATGTTTGCTGGTGTTCCCTCACATTGAATTTTTGTAATGTGTTTGCATATCTACAAACACAAACTCAGATCATTTCAGATCCGTTACACCTCACGCTTTCGAAAACTAATACCACATATGACTCAGGGACCACAAACCGCTTAGGTGGACAAAGAGGGCATGCCATCGCTCCTGTTTGCATCACTAGTCACATGTAGTGGTTCAGAGCACAAGGAGTAATGTGCGTCTACTCTTATTCATTCGACAGGCTGGAAAAGCAAGCACAAGAATGTACTATGTACAGACCGCACTCATTAATACCTCATCTGTGAGCTCTCTTCCAGAATTAGACCTAGGTCTTTGTGGTCCAAGTACTTCATTTGTTGTTTGGCCATCAGCTGCTTTCCCATTTTCCTGAAATTTTGCAGACATAGAATACATTATCTCTACTTTAACAGTGAAGTAAATGTTAACAGTTAAGTTATAATCATTTCCCAATACCTGTGCAGTGACTATTTTATCTCCACTAGTTGCACTTGCCAAATCCAAAGAAGGCTGACAATCTTTGGGCATGCCCTCCGTTACTGTACTTGGAGCCAAAAGACTACCAGCTGTGAAGTTCTCTCGAGAAACTGAAAAGAGATTCACATTAGAAAGAAGAACATAACACTTGCCATAGACAGGACATAGATTGTTAGAACCCTAACAATATAGTGACACTCTTGAACACCGTTTCTGACAAGTTTGATTTTTTTTAAACATCAACTGCCACCAAACCTGACTTATCAATTATGTATTTCATATATAGTTGGAGGCACAGGCATGATCTCATGCCTAATCCTCGTAAGTTTTATTAACAATCTGGGGTTTTTTACCTGTTTCCCTAGTAACCCAGGACTACTCATTTTCATGAGACCTCAGTCTACATCCTGACTTGTATTTCTGGGCAAATACAGATTGCAGGCATTTTATTTGAAGTGTGTAACATTTTTAGTTTCTGTACTAATGAGGCAACTTCTCCTTGCTACAAAAGTAGCTATTTTGGTAGGAAGTGTTATTTTACAAGAAAGGCTATGAATTAGGAACGCTGTAATGCAAAAGGGTATTTCTCCACTGTAAGAAGCTAGGATTGCTGAAGAATTTTTTTTTCCTCATTTACATGTCAACTAAACTGAAATCACAAGATCAAATGATTCTTCACTCAAAACACAAAAATAGTAACCATGTTGATAAATAAACCCATCTAAAATAGATCACTTGCCTTCTAAAACAGGTTTTTGCACTTCAAAATCCAGTTCACTCTTCTTCTTCCGGGGTGGAGGAGCTGGCCGAGCAGGTGGTGGTGGTCTCGGAGGAGGAACATTTATTGGAGGTGGTGGCCGCGCTGGAACAGGTTTCTTTGTGCTAGCAACTATATCAGGTTCTACAGTAAGCTGCCTTGGCGGTTTTGCTGGAGGCATTTCTTCTGTTGTAGAAAGGTCTTTGGCAGATAAATCTGAAGCCACTTGTTCTAAAGTATTTGACTCTTTCTTGTCTGTTATGTTCTCGCTTTTTGATGTTTCTTCCTGTGCTTCAGTTTCATCCATTTTATGGTCAGTTGCGTCTGTTACTTTTGTTAGTTTATGAGTTTCCTGTTGCTCAGAACTAAACAAAAGCTTCCCAGACTCCAATTCACTGTCCTTACACACACTCTGATACACTGGTTCTCTAGGGTCTTCTTGTAACGATATTTTAGCAGCTGATACTTCTGGAATACTACTCATGATACCTGCTCCAGAAATCCAAGCATTTGCATCTGAAGTTGGAACAGTCAGTTCTTTTCCTCTAGAAGTTAAAGAATCATCATCTAGCTGTTGTGCCTTCTGGCTTTCTTCTATAATACTGTCAATAATCTAAAGAAACAAAACCAAACCAAACCATTCTACTGTTAAATGGCATTTCTAGGGTACACTTACCAGTTAGCATGTACAACACCCACAAGAACTCTCCCACTGAAGAGTTGCTTTATATACAAAATACATTTTGTTCAAAAATTCTGGAGACCACAACTTAGCTGCAGAAATAGGCATATCCAAAAAATAAAACAAAGTGACTAATTTCCATTCCTCATTAATATACTTCAAAAGAAAGTTAGGAAACAAAAGCCCTTGAACTCTACAGAGTTCTCATGCACTTCTGAATATGTAAATGACAAATTTAACATTGGTGAATCCTAAATATGTTTTCAGAACACCTAGCTTGATTTTTAGCCTTTAGATGAACATTCTTACTAACATTAACGACAAATTCTAACCTATGTTAGTTTAAGGATGAAGACTGATTATTAAATTATTTAGTGTTTCTAGTGTGATGCTGGAAGCACAAAGCAATATTTAACTAACCTCTTTTGAATCATCTTGTTTCATTTCTTGTACAAAGGTTTCATTTCCACCTTTGTGTAGTTTGCTGTCCATATCCTGTGGAAAAAGAAAAGACATAAAATGATGGTAGTCAGTTCTTCAGTAAGATGATCTAACAAAAATATAGCTACAACAAATTAAATAGCATAAAACCAAGAATTCTGCTACATTTTCAGACATTACTGCTGTCAGATGTTTAACAGTAATGCACAGTAGACATGAAGGGTGTTTCACAGTGCCACACACAGAAAGCCTGCACACTACTAAACAAAAAAGGCAGTTACTCTTAAGAGGTTTCAACCGTAACCAAAATAAAATTGAAGGTAGCACGATGTTTAACAAAACATAACACATTTAACAATCTGCAGCAAGGAAAATCCATAACAAAAGATTGTTTTCTTAGGATGCAAGAACTGTACTATCACCATGGACAATAGAAACTTTTTTAAAAAATTCCAGGTTAAGTCAGGCAGATCTATCAAGTGGTCACAAATAACCCTCTGAGGTTCTGACATGGAATCTTATGTTCTGCAATTATTCCTAGTGCACATTGTCTATTTTTGCCATCAGTCATCTTCATGCAGATCCTTCCGAAATCTAAATAAATTGCAGCAGAATAAATTAAATGACTGGATTTAGGCAAAAAAACAGAACATTTTCAGAATATTTGGATGAAAGACTGCATGAATATTTGAAGCAGAGTATGCTATTTATTTATTCTTTATGTATGTACAATGAATTCTACTACTGATGTGAAGTCAGCTTGCAGTTTAAGTACAGTTTCGTGTGCAAACAGCATCCACACATTGGCATATCCTACCAAAGAAAGAATTAATAAAAGCAATTCACTAAAGTTGGCCTCGTATGCCAAAATAATGCAGTAAATATTTGTAATAATTTTATGTCTTATTTAATTATTTTTAAAAAAACATTAAATAAATCATATTTAAGATAGGCAGTCCTAGGAATATCAGAATTAGATTACAATTCGGGCATGTTAAGCATGGATATTTTATACAAAGCCTTAATACAGAACTGAAAATACCCTATTTGCGAGTGAACATATTCATCAAATCCTGAAAAATCTTACGTTCAGAAATGCAAGTAGTTTATACCACAGCAGGATATCACTTTAACCAGAAGCCTGCTTTAACCTCACTTAATATGGTCTAGTAGGAACTTCATCATATGCCTCCTGCTCTACATGAATTATTGGAATCACAGAATGGTTTGGGTTGGAAGGGACCTTTAAAGGTCAATTAGTCCACCCACCCTGCAGTAAGCAGGGACATCTCTAACTAGATCAGGTCACTCAGAGCCCTGTCCAACCTGACCTGGAATGCTTCCAGGGATGGGGCATCTACCACCTCTCTGGGCAGCCTGTGCCAGTGTTTCACCGCCCTCATTGCAAAAAAAATGTCTTCCTTATGTCCAGTCTAAATCTGCCCTCTTTTAGTTTAAAACCATTAGCCCTTGTCCTATCGCAAGAGGCCCTACTAAAAAGTCCATCTCCATCTTTCTTATAAGCCTCCTTTAAGTATTGAAAGGCCGCAAGATCATGTTGCCTACAAACATACATATCAGCAATATCTAAAGGGGAATCTGATAGAATTCTTGACATTGGAAGGGACCTATGGAGATCCTGTAGTCCTCAAAGCAGAGACAACTAGAATAGGTTGCTCAGAGATGTGTCCAGTCAGGTTTTTACTATATCCAAGGATACTACACATCAGCTCCGTGCCACTTGTTCAACTCTTTGACCATCATGTATAGCCTATTTGGTGACCAGAGCTGCAGAAAAAAAGCCTGTATTTGTCTCACAAAAGAGAAAAACTCCTCACAACTGACTCAAATAATTAAGGTACCAAGCTTAAAACACACCTTAACTAACTGCCTGAGTTGAGATACAGAACTGCTCTTCTACTCCTCCTTCCTGTCTACAGATAAGAAACTCTCTACTGTTGAAGTCAGCAGTCCTCAACTCTCTCTCCATAATGTTAAAGCACCCAATGGCTAGCTGGTACAAACATAAACTAATTTTGTTAGATTATTAATTTAATTCCACTTACATAGCTTTTGATGTGCACAAGATACCTAATGTCTATATTAAACAGATATTTTAAAAGACCTCCCCACATATTTTTGGACCTTGACAAGATTTCGAGTGACTGTCTAGTACAGCTATCTAAGAAATTTCTCCTTAGACTTTTTTTAGACACTCAGCTAGTCAAACAGAATCTTTGTAGCATACTAACATGTTATGTTTGAAAAAAACCACACAACTCTTGTAGACATCCATCTTTCACAGTTCTGACCTCAAGAAGTGGCATATTATGCAGACACAACTGCAATTACAGAAAAAAATCTTCCTCCCTCTCCACTCCCTCCCCCTCCTTCCACAAAGTTTTTGTAATCTAAATGCAAGTTCTACTTTGCTTTATCACGAAAATCTATCTTCAGAGGTAAAACACCTTAAATACTTTGGTGTAATCAGTGTCTACAGAAGCTCATCATATCAATTTCTAATTTTGTTGACACTAAACTCACACACCTGTTAAACTTTGGACTCAGGAAATATTTCTTACCCATTCCAAGACAAACTATACCATTAGTCACACATTCACTGAACTGATATAGTACCAAGCAGAGAAGCAACTACTTTTTCCACCTTCAGAAACTTAGCTTTGAACAAGTGACTTAGGAAGGTAATTTAAAAAATTGAAAAAAAAAAAAAAAACTACTTACAAGCAACGTACAGAGAACGTCAGAGGTAGTAATTCAGTCAAGACATTAAAGTTAGTTCTGAAGTTGTTTGGTTGCACTGACTTTAGTCAGAATGATACAGTAATATTTCTTGAAAGGCTTACACATGTAACAATCATTAAAGGGACATTAAATAGAACACAAAACAGGGCTTAAGACTCTGTTCCGTAAGATATCGTACGATATGGGATCACTGTAAAAAGATCATTGATTCAGAGCAGAGTGCTGCTGACAAATCAGAAACACTATTTTCCTGACACTTTGCAGACGAAACGTCAAGCCTTCTTTTCTCTATGTAGAAGTGTTGCATAGCATCACCTTTGGCCCTTCTGAGACCAGGAAACGCATGCTGTTTGTGCGAGGTTCCAACTCCTCACCTATGGAATGTGTGCCAGATTCAGCCGCACTGTCACTATGCACAGATGCAGCATACCAATTACCTGCGTGGGAAGTAGCAATGCTGTCTTATTAAGCTAAATACAGTGTTTTATCTTCACTTAAGCTAGAGGGGAGGCTTTGAAGTACAAACACTAAGATTTTTCTTATTTTGAAGAAAGAAGAGAGAAAAGTCAACTATTTCATATAAATCAAGACCAAAAACATGTGCTGCAGACTTGCTTACTACACAGAAATCACTTGAAAGAGGGTGGTCTAGTAATTAAGTACAGCTCAATTAAATTGCACATATACATTTCAGAATAAAGTTAGCTTCAAGACATGTTAACATAGCCTAAGTAAATGTAAAATTGGAACTTCAAGAGATACAAGCACAACAATTGCTACATACAACAAAGAAAACCTATAATTTACTGCCTGTGTAGATGTTAGGGCTACTGTAGCACACCTGCTTTAGGTAGAAACACTCAACACTGTTCATCAACAAACATTTGATTGTTTTTAAGAAGAAACTCACCTTTAATACATGGGATCCAACTTTTGTCGGTGACCTGTTAGAAAGACAAGACAGACTTAGGTAAAGCTCAAAGAAAAAAAAAAAAATCTCTTGAGACTAAGCTGCATATTAAACAGTTTACAGTACAGTCTTCCTTTACAGTGAATGTATACTTGATGCTTTAGACAAGCAACAAAGTGAATGTTTCCCATACCACTCCTTTACAGAAAAGGCTTCAAATAGAGTTAAGGTCCCAACTGTCCACAACGCATGGATCCACAGCTTCCACAATCCCTGAAAGTTTCTCAGTAGAATCTTCTAGAAAACATGTTTCTATCATCCTTTTCTAATAAACTGGTGCTATTTCAAGTACACGTTTCAAAGCATTTTGCATTGCAGAGAGTTTAAAATTAACATGTACAGGAAACACAGGGTGGACATCAAAGAAACCCAAATTCTCAGAAAGCAGAAGTACAAACGCTCTAGTTAGTAGCTTGCACATCAAGTGCCTGACCCCTAATCTGTAGTCTCAACACTATTGTAGCCATTCTGCCTTCCAGCCTCTCTGGTAAACATAAGGTCCTGTTTCTAATCATGACCCTCAGCATAAATATAAGTACTTACATAGTAAAAGAAGGGAACCAGTTTCGAACTACCTTCCAAAAGTATACTCTGAAACAGCGAATTCGCATTAGCATCCACTCACACATAACCTCTCATTTCACTAATTACATGAAAAAACAAGGTATCTTAGGGGAACGGCATCAACTAATTATTTCTCTTTAGGTCACCACTCAATGAACAGTCAACTCTTACTATATCCTGAACTTATATTTTCCACAAGATTTTCAGAATTCTACAAGATATTTAAACATTGAGTCACACTGCTTACTCTGACTACAGGACCTTATTCATATATAAAGAAGTTGAAAGGTTGGGCCAGATGATCTTTCGAGGTCTGTTCCATGATTTTATCAGTTTGTCACTCACAGGCAAAGTTACACATTACTTCCTTAGAAGCTTACCACCAATTGACTACAACCTGGTTTATACAAGCAGCCCAGCTGGCTACCAAGGTCAATGAACATCAGCTTGTACCAAGCAATACAGACAAATATGGAGGTCTCAGTCTAATCTGCCCCTCCTGCCTCCAAAATGATGGTTTTGAGGGACAATACCTTCTGAAAAAAAAAACCAACTTCCATTTAATTTTTAAGAATTTCAGTTCTGAAAGCATTTAATCACAAAAAGAAAAGACCATGTTTATACAGTAAAGTAAACAAGAAGATACAGTAGATTCGTATATAAACACTGTATCATCTGTAACTAATTTAACACCTTAAACCTAGTTGCTTCTATCCAGATACTGACACTTAAGATGCACAATACCAGTAACACTCTTTCAAGACATAATCCTCCTAGAAGGCTTCAACCCCAATGTGCAAAAAAGAGCAAAAGCAGTATTTTGACCTGAAAAACAAACACATCTTTTGTCTCCCAAAATACACTGCAGGAAAGGCCACAGCCTGTATTGAACTTCTGGTTACTAAAACATTTTCAGTTCCACTATCAGCTCTTGGATTTCCTTAAAGATAGTGGCAGAAATGTGTGTCAGTTCATTAAATCCACAAGATGATTTTAACAATGAAATATATTTATAACCACATTAACGCCTAGGCTTCAGCAAGGTGTAGGGTCCTATTGTACAAGGCACTGCTTAGAATTTACAACCTAAATAAAATGCAAATCCCTCAACTGCAAATAGATACTTTAGTTTTCTACTGTGACACTTCCCACCAATTAGCATGTCACTTCTGGTATAGGCAAATCACTCTTCCACTAGTAACACAAAACACGAGGTTCAAAAGACATTGCTACCCTTTCAGACTTCTGTAGCTAATTAGTTTTGTGGAAAATCCACACTCAAACTAAAACAGAGGTTATTTCCCACTCTCATGCTTACTCTGATACCTCAGGAAAAAGCTGCTCAAGTGATAAAGGTTACAGAGCTAGCAGGTATAGAATTTAACATAGCTGATAGCTTGATACAGCATACACAGACATTGTTAAGGTGCAGCTTTACCACTGAAATTACATGCTTTTAAAACACTGCAAAGCTTCCACAGCTATTTGGCAGTAACAACTCTTTCAGATCGGTTTGTAATATAGCCAAATAAGTTTAGTGGCTTGCCTGAGATGATTTGAACTATGTGTTTGTAAGCACCATCGCTCTCTTAGGCGTGATTAGTTGCTGCTAGTCAGGCTCAGAATAAGTTTTCTAACTGAAGTCTCTTGTACTTCAACATTACTGTGCAATGGTCTTGCCTTCCCAACCACCCAAAGTTACTAGCTTTCTCCACTGCTCGGTTTTACTTGGAGGCCACCGGTTTTACGGACACAGTACCTGAAATGCTTGCATTTTTTAAAAAGTATATACAGTGGCAAGAGCATCTGGAAAGATTTATATGAAGATCGATTCAATGATCAAATATTTGTTTTGCTTTGAAAGATCTGTAGCTTTACAGGGTTATCAGCAGAACATGAAGACTGACATATTCCACAGAAAATGTGAGGCAAAAAAATAATTTTGTTGTCTAGTATGGTTGTTTAGTAAGTAGTGGGATTTAAAAATTGACAGCAACAGATCTTGTAGACTGCATTTCACATAAAATACTTTTAAGTTTTCTTACATGATATCACTGTAACACCAGTTTAACAAAGGAGGGGTTCAAGGTTATCTACAAAGATTAAACAAAAGTCGAAGAAAAATCCCCTTTCATCTGCATAAACATAACCAGATGTCTGATTAACCTGAAAGTCAAATAAACTCATGAAGAACTGTTTTTTATTATTATTTATTCAGCTGTCAAAGTCATCCTAATACTTATCAGACTACAGGAAGCTGCCATTCCCACTATCAGGCAGCTTCAGCCTAGTACCTATTCGAAATAAGCAGCAACATGTTGAAAATGTGAAGCTAAGTTTTGTGACAGAAAACAAAACATTTAGTACTTCAAAAAAACCCAATGATGTGAATGACTGGCCTTGGTCAAATCCCAGAACCACGCTGCCTGCTTTCCTGGGAGGACGCACGTTGTTACAAAGCAGGTGTGCCAACAGGCAGACAGAAAGAGGTTTACAGCGTATGTATAATAGCAGCACACTGCATGGAACACGCAGGTTCAACAGCCAGCCCAGTAACTGTATTTATGGCTGTCCTTCAGTTTGCAGAGGCACACAAGGCTTTCCTCCCTCTAACCTACGGCTGGCCTTGAAGATACAATTATTCCT